TTGAAGAATCATAATGAATACAAGGCAATAATATTACTGGACACAAAATAACTCTCCCGATCATATCCACAACTTGACTACACACAATGAGCTTGTCACGAGATATAATCTGTGACGATTACAAGACGTGACTGTCATGAGCATATAAACTTATTTCTGACATGACAAGACGTGACTGTCATGAGCATATACTAAAACACCGACTAGACTACACGCGACCTGTGTGAAAATATTATCCATTTAAGATGACAAGACTCGACTAGCATAGGTATTACATTTCTAAAAGACACAATGTACCTCTCATCACCTTTCTCTTTCAGTGAGTCACAATTCATAGACAATCATACCTATCCTGATTCTAGACCTGCGCGTGTGTGTCTTTACCAGGCAAGCAGACACGCATAATTCAAGTGCTTGTTGCAGAAGGTGAGTAGAGAAAGGCAAGGACACAGGCTACCATCACTATGCCTTCTGCTTGATGTATGCTTTATCAGGTACCTTCACACACACACTTCCGCTCCACCGCCACATAACCCCCACACCTCTCAGTACACCTATACTCCACATACTAACAATAAAAATTACTTATATTTTAATAAACTTAACCTAAACTACTTCTGTTATCTTCCTATACTGATCACACTTTATATATGTTGCAAATCACTTGTTATTGTTATCTCGTCACGGAATGTTATCTTATTCCCTGTGGTCATCATGCTTGTGTTGCAATATGGCAATACTTATTCACAGGACTAATTTTTTTTCCTGGGATATTTTGAGTCAGAGGTCTTATGATTAATGTTTTTTTCTTTACTCTCTTACTGTTAAATAATGTGATGTGTTACTCTAATAACGTGACTTTTTACTCTAATACGACTCTTTATTCTCTAACTTTATATTAATATGTCTCCTTACTTTATCATATAGCCTGTTATTTATTTCAGTGCGTTAAACCTACAGCAATTTTTATAGTTTTTTTTTTCCTTCAGGTGAGATGTAACGTTGTTGTCATTATCACACGTCCCAGGTGCCCAGGTAGTGTGGCCAGTACAGGAAGTAACCACTTAATGCTGGTGGTGATAACGGTGTGAGGAGCTGGATTTAATACTACTACTACTACTACTACTTCCAGCAGCAACAGGTGCATCCACTACTGGCGTTCACACCACCCACCTGACGGAGGAGCCGCCGCCACGACACCTGGGCCGACCACCAACAATCTAGCCACTATCATACCTGTCAACACCCACCACCTTACCTGACCCTCACTCCTATCAACCATCATAACTTTTAGTCTGGTGAGTTACAACTATACAAAGCTAATAATATATTGTCACCACATTCACGTCACCAGATGAACACGTGATATGTAAGGAAAGAAACAATACTCCATCAAAAGGTAGGTAATGTAATGCAATATCTCGGATGTCACCTTGAACTCGTGTCACTGCATTGAAACTAAACGGTAAAAACACATCATGACTCATAAATGATTTTTTCTAGAATATAAAAAAATAAATAAAAATAAACTTCACATTTCAAGGATCATTTTAGGAACGTTGTTTACATAGTTGTGTGGTCGTAGTGTAGGTCAGAGTATAAGCCAAGTTCAGTATGTAATCAAACCCAGGCGACCGGTCCGAGTTTGACGTATTCTTACTCCCCAGTTGAGGAGATATCGTATCGAACAGAATCTTTTGTCCCTCAAATTATCAGTGAATGACATTCCTTGGTCACTACTGGCAACATCTGACATACACAGTACTTACATAAAGAGGGTTATAATGAAGAGTTAGATACCATATTATAAACAACTTCCCAATTCCAAAGCAAGTTTATAATCATTTACAACATGGCACATTCTTTACAGCTAATTGTGTAGCTAGGATATGGCCAGGCTTGGGAAAGGAAGCTGCACTGAATTAAAATTTCTACACAAATTCGATGATTCAGATACCTCAAAATGACCACATAAAGAAAATTTTATATTCAGGTAACAACAAATTAATATATTGAATGTTAATAAACCTAACATGAGTTATATTACTAATGGAATATTGTACAGTAGCTGACAATCACTCTTGTTCGGAATCAGCTCAGTTGCCATACAGAACATTCCGAAATGAACACCAGTAACTACCAACAACACAAAAGCCACACCACGTGACTTCCTGTTATTTTATCGTAAGGAAAATATAAAAATGAAACTCACATGCGATCAATTGTACAAAGATAAAAGTCAAAACAAATCTTTATTACAAGGCAAGACAAAAGCTTCGTGGTGTTGGGTAAAGCTGAAACGCAAATACTACATACCCCATGTTGATTACCATTATTTGTCGCGCTCTACCACTTGTTCACCCGTAAGCACCTACTGTTTACGAATGAATACATGCAGATTGGCTAGGTTCTATTCACACACAACACTCAAAAGCACATTATTTGCTCCAAATTGTCGAGAAAACTCAAGAGGACCAAAAAAATAGTAAGTTTTTGTGTACATTCTGATCCAGACAGTGAACTTCAGTTATGATACTACGCTACCTTTAAACTCGCAGAAAATTGATTATACTGTATTTTCGTCTTTCTAATCAGTGCTAGTATGCAGTGCCATTTCCTTGAGAGGTATATACAAAAAGAAATCACGGGAAGATAAGGCACTTCAAGTTTATTTCACCGATGATCGCTAATGGGAGGGTGAAGTTTAGGTTAGCTTTAGTGTTAAACCAAATGGAATAAACCGGGGTGCCTAATCTTCACGTGATCCCGTAGAATAATTGCTCCTATGACGCGGCCGAAACAACCCAAACAATAAACGTATTACCAGCAGCTCATATTAACAATTATCAAAAAAGCATCATTAAACACGACACGCTTGACTGGTACAAAAATGAGCCTCGTTCTCTTCTTTCCGACACAAAAAACCAATTGCCTCTTATCCATTTGTTCACATTCTCGTAAAATAAACGAATCTTTTGTCTGATTTTCTGGATGAATATAATCACTAAATCAATTGACTTTCTGTTTACATTGACTTCCATAATTATCGACATGTTGACCAAGACTAGAATCAAGAATCTGGTTTCATTTTAAGTTTCGAATGGACGATAATCCTACTCGCCACCCGCCCCACTGAATTCCAGGAAAATAACCACTTCGTAAAATAAATACGTTGATTCCTCGCATGTTGCATCCTCTCATGAACTAAAGAGAGGGAGAGGGAGAGAGCGTGTGGGCGAGAATGGAGGTGAGGTGTGGTTACCCTTGTCGATGTTCGTTGAGAAAAATTGATTCACTCAACTTATGAATTAATTTTACTACTTTCCACGCGTCTACACAAACAATTCTTACAAACATGTGGAGATTTTTTGTTCTGTAAATGGATGTAATTTCTATGACACGAGATTTTTTTTATCCTTGTAATACCAAGACACATATAACCATTACCAGTTAAAATTATTTTTGCCCATGGCTTACTGACGCGGTAAGCCTGGTCAGTATTCTATATACTGTACTTGTAACGCGCCATCTTGGAAGCCAGGGTGGAGGCTACGGTGTAAATCATCTATATATGCATACAACACGAGCCAATCAAACCTAACCTGACTTAAAAAAAAAAAAGTTTGGTTCGCCGGACATTGAAAAAGATTTACTCTGCAGCCTCTGAGGATTTTCACAACACCTAAAACAAGATCAAATGAGAGCTTTTATCAATACGTCAGCCACACAAACAATTCCAACTAAAACACATTTATACATAGGAGAGGCAAGGGCTTTGTTATTCAAGAATTTAACGAGTTACAGAAAATTTAACGTTTACAGTCAGATCATGGCTAAGGTAATTGATAAGGCCTGTGTGGGGGGGAGGGGGGGGGCAGCGAACGTCATTTATGGCTGCACACAACCTGAACCAGCCAGAACGATCGTTAGGTTAGGTTCTTGTATGCAGTCATGAATGATTTACACCGCAGCCCCCCTTGGATTCCACGATCGCGCGTCGCATCTTGACCAAAGTATTTTTCTTGTGAATCTAAACACTTCCTTCCAGTCACCGACAGAAACTTACAACAAGAGATGTATTTCCTGTGCAGTCACCAAGTCACTCTCCACTGTCTTCCCCTCAGCGGCTCAGGACATAACACACATTCCTACGCGGTTCGGCAGCCAAAATTCAACAGCCTAACAAAGTTGGCGATACATATACAACTGTCTGTAGGAGCACTGAATTATAACCCCTATATTTCCCTCTACGAAGACAACAATATACATTAATAAAAGAAAGGGTAATTTGAGGCCTTTAGTTCAACAACCTTCGTGGGCCGGTTGTAGGAGATAAGAAAATTGTGATAGTTTATGTACAGCGTTTGAGTTGTTTACACTCCCATCTGGCAACGATGTTCCCGGATGACTTTTTTTCTTAGGGGACAAAGATTTTTTCAACTATCGACATAATTGGTTGATATTTTATTATTACCATCAGTTGCTGACACTCCAGTCTGGTGTTAATTATGTTAATGAAGGAAAAATAAAGAAAGCCATAAATTTGCATGTAAAATTTCCTTCCCATATAGACACATGACACAATGTTGTCAACACTGTCAGGTTACTAAGCTTAGGATAAATACTGTCAGCAACACCTGCACATCAGGGTCATATGTTCCCGCGGTACATCAACAGTACAGAATACAGGTATAATAACTTACTGCTGCAGGGTATAATCCTACCCACAAGCAAGACGGTAATACACTGCCACGCACTCAGAAAATACGAGACAGAAAAAACGTGTACTGCAGCTGAATTTATAAGACATTTTTTTTAATTATAATGAACAACTTAAATGCAAACACAATAATTGTCTTCAACTCAGAGATTTGCCTAATACTCGTCTAAATAAAAGTACATTAAAAATGGGTATTTACCTGATCTAGCCTGAGGATAAACTAACAAGATGAAGCCTGTCTCTAAACAGCCAAGAACAGAAAAAAACAAGTAGCACTTACCTCTGAACAGTTGTTAGGTATAAGCATGCACTTGTCACACATAAACACTGCACCTTACAAGGTACACACTCATAGTAAACACAACAAGCCGCGTTTAATATTGCACTTTTTGGTAAGCGGTTATATCAACTGAGAAACTTGGGTTTGAGAGATAATCATGACAGGCGGTGAAAACAATCCAGGTAATGGAGTTAGCGAGCACACTACGGCCGGGTTGCGTCCTCGGCGGCCTCAGGATCAACACTAACTTGTGAGGGCCGCTGTGGTCTCAGCACCTCGCATTAGAGTATCCCAGCCAGCCGCCGCCACAGTTGCCGCGCTCCCTGCAACCCTCACTCTTGTTAGACACAAACGCTGTTTTACAAGCCTGTGTTGAGACGGCTAATTCCATATATCTAAAACAAAACAAAATCCAGTATATTTAGTTTACAAATTCCAAGTTTTACAAAAATTATGTGTGGTTGACGTCTTAGATGTCAAGCAAAATACTTGTTACTTTAATAATTTTCTTTAACATTCGCCAGATGCATTTATTGTTTAAAAGAACATCCACGTGCCAGTCGCCGAGGGCCATCTAATGTTCCAGGGATAAAAACAAGCGGCGAGTTTCTCACAGGCAACCTCTGGCCACACTACAAGTGAACGACCATGGCGAACGTTGCCACATGTTTAGTCACAATTATTCCACATTTATTTGGTAACATTTCATCAGAATTATATTGGCGTTTATTCATGATTAGTATAAAGTGTGTATCGTGTATGACATACGCTGGAATTTGTATCTCCCTAGTGATATAAAAATGTCAAATATTGGTAAATGGCAGTGCTGGAAGACGCACCCAAAATTCCTCAGGCTATGACACCGAGGCTTTCTGGCGTTAAAAATTCATTCATAATTTTACCTTCGGGCGAAATTTTAAACACCATACGTAACCGATGAAGACAATGTGTCCTGCGTGAGGCCAGTGTAGCATCATCGCCAGCCCTGTAGACCAACCGCTCCGAGGTGTTGTCAAATAAATTACGTATCGTCTCTCAGGATCTGAGATTGTCGAGCAGTGCGATGAGCCGGAGCATTGACACCGCTGCTGCCCTCACCGCTCCAGGTTGCCCACACGATAGCAACTAAATCCACCGATGGCCGCTCCACTTGTGAGGGGGGGGGGGGGCTTATCTTTCCGCACTCTCAGTGGACAGGTACACCAGCGCATAATAAACAAAGAATTTATCCCGGACGCGAGCAAGCCTAGCAATTATAATGATTTGATTTATATTTCGCCAGACGCTGCAGTGCCAAGAAAAACTTTTGTACATGTATAAACATTTATTATAACCTTAGGAATTTACGAACAGCTGCAGCCCATGAAAACTGCTTTCCTGGTGTCGATTTAAACACAATTCCGGTGGTATGAAGCGCATGTCTGAAAATCAAGGTTATAACCGTAAAGCGTCTATTTTGACCCTTCTCACCTAACCCATCCAGTTATACAACATAATTGTGTAAAGACAACACCAGACAACCCTAAAAACGCACCATTAAGTTATGGGTTGACTAATTTCAACGTTAATGGAGCTGTTGCAACGCCATTAAGACCACCAACAAAGGACACTGGAGCACCGTGGTGTATCAAAACATTTGGCAATTCAATAAAAATACAACAAAATATTACTCTTCATGCAATTCATCCCTGGAGATTCACGGTAACAGATTAAAGTGCGGGTAAAGACCAAAATACAATACGTAGTTTGGGTTAATAAAAAAAAAAAAGATTGTGTGTTGTATGTGTTAGTTACTCCTCATCGTCATTATCATCCATTTTGTGCAATTAAGTTTCCCAACAGAGCCGCCCCACCCACCAGCCAGTCACGTCTCACCACCAACACAGAATATGATCACCCGTGTTGTTAACCCGCGAGAAATTATTTGATACCAAAGCGTCTGTTGCCTCTACCGCCCACCTTCCTTACTAAAACATCAAGCTACGGTACAACAAGTCTTGCTTTCATTTTATTAATTGTCATTTGCTCCAGGATAAATCATAATTAAGTACGACTAGGGAGATTCAGGAGCCACAGTCCACTAATCATCCCCGGCCACCCGAAAAAAATGACAGAGTTTCCCCTTCAGTGTTTTGTTCCTCTCACAGAAAACTTCTCTCAGTTTTGGGTAACTCTGATGCACTTCCTTACTTCGGCACTATTTACCCATTTATGATTTATGTTGGAGCTAATTTCCAATACTTTTATCTTTATCAAATTTGCGCATCTAACAAGTAACAATTATTAATTCTGGTACGAAAATTAATTAAAAAAACCCACTACATATTAACTATGAATCAACTTGTATGTCTTGGCTCTTCCAAAGTGTTTATCAAGTCTTTTAAATTGCTATACAAATTTCAAAATGCTTTACGAACACCATTACTCACCCAGCCATACCACTAGAAGGTTCGCAATTCCAGAGTTGTCCCAGTCCATGTTGATGGAAGGCGAGGAGGCTCCATGCACTAATTTAAAGGTGTTGACGTCTAGAAGTTACGTCCCCGAGCGCACCTTACACCACCAGAGTCAAGAGTCAACTGGCGGCTGACCTATTGATAACAACCATCGAAACGAACTATCGTCCACTTTGCATTAATTTTTAATGCGTAAAATATAAAATTAACGGGAAGGCATAAACTTTAGACTAACTAAATGTGAAAGCAATTTTGAAATTGTTTACAAATATTTTTATTCCCAAAGCCTTGTTGGCTTTAAGAGCTTCTCACAATACTGGAACACAGATTAGTCTTAATATGAAATATTGATTTTTCAGCTTATGACAGATTCATGAGTAATAAGTACTCGTACATATTTTGTCGAGATCATATTGATAAAAATTAGAGCTTCGGTACAGGAAAATGAAAGATACCATAAATAATTCATAATTTATATTACAGTTTGTACAATTAACAAAGAGACGCCGCCATTATCGCGGGGCGTCTCGTGTTACAGTCCCGTGCGTCGCGCCAGAGGTTCATCCCACATCCACTATCAGGATGGTCTTCCATTACTAATATACAGGAGTATCTTCCTTACAGCAGAAGGTGGGTGTGAGCTTCTGGGCGCGACCGTCTGAGAATGGCAGAAGAGTGCGCTGGTGGGATCAACAGCAAGGTTAATATTTACATACTGGGGTAATGTGTATGTGATATCCAAGACACATTAATTACCACCTCTAAGGTAGTCACTGGTGTGGGGCTCGTACTTCTAATATACAGAGTTTTGCTGGAAACATTATTACCTTCTTGTCATGATGATAGTTATCTATGTATTACAGAGAATGAGTTTATATAAAGATAAGGTAGGTCTAGATATCAGGTAGGAGAGTAAGAGGTCAAAGCGAATTCCATGACCATTACTTGAACAAAAGCACATAGTATAAAATGGTTACATCACGTGAACGACTTTAAAACATCCTCGGATTGGTCGCGCTTTTATTTAGCCAGTGTGTCATAGAATTCGCTTGAAACTATGAATTTACATGAAAAGAAAACTCATTCCACAATTTAGTATAAATCGGAGAAGTTATTAGATAGAAGTGATCTAAAAGATTATTATTACGAGAACCGTAAACTTGAATTATGATAAAGTAATGAAGGAAGTAGTGGTGTGGTGTAGTCTGTGGATCGTTCGTGGGGAGACTGGACGTGAGAGTCGGGCTCCCCCACCCGTGTGAATCTCACTAAGTAACATGTATCTATGGTGATATATCGCGTCCAGATGGAAAAAATAATAATAAATAAATAATTGACAGGTTAAGTAAAGGTCTTTCACAGTTTGAATTATTACGTATCTATCATTGTGGAACTAACCCATCGTTCCTCACTCTTCTTACTGAATCTTTCATTTCCCTTATCTCTTCCCTATCATACCTCACTACATTATACGTTTATACCTTTAACTATTAATGTAAACCATCCTGTCACCCCCACCTGTGAATCACCCCCTAACCCCTTCAAAAACACTCCTTGTGACGATTAGTACTACCTCCCCCTTCCCCAAACACCCCTTAAACGTCACTCCTCAATCCCTATAGACCATCTCCCCTTTACACATTACCCTCCCTTACCCTTAACCCCCCCCCCACACAAGACACAGGTGGAGATGCCCTACAGCTCACAGTACACACAACACGATAACCACACTTGTTCACTTAACTATAGAGATCATGACGTGCTTATAGACTATCCCTTTCCCCTTTAACCCTAAAAAAATACAACATCGAACCTGACACAAACACCATCTGTAACCTTGTGACATCAGCCGTGCGTAATGGACCATGTGACATCACTCTTATGAATTTAATCAGCAATATAACCTTGTGACATCAATTATGACCTAGGATATTATGTTTGAGTGACGGACCCTGTAGTTAACATTAACCATAATAGACCTTAAAACATAAAACATCACTGATAATTATGTCATATAAACCTAACGTAACCCGTGATCATTGTGACATCCTTCTAAGTTATAAATATTTGCTCTATGATAGCAAGTGTTTACCGTGTCAGGTTAAAATGCAAGGATCTGACTTTTAAATATCACCAGCAGTAAATGGCAATGTTTTATCTCACGACCCGGTCAGAGCCATCACACTGAGCCATGTAGCGTCTCTATGTTTAGTACTGGTGGCATCAATAAACTCTGTAATGTCATTTTGCTGTTGATATATAAATGTCAGTTTTTTTTTTTTAAATTTCAAAATTACTTTAATCAATCTCAAATGTACCCTGAAGCACTATGGTTATATATTTATCAAATATTCTCGGTGGAAGAATTTTTTTTTAAATACTGTAAAATCAATCGATGTATCACCATTCTACATGTTGTTTTCCTGATCTACAGTATGACGGACTACATGAGCTCTGTTGTAGATGCTAAGATACCTCTAGGCTCGACTCTCGCCCTCACAGTACAAAACCTCACAAGACCCGTACCAAGAATCAACATACTTGAGACTTGTCATAAATTTATTAAACAAACATTCATGCAAAACATGACCGTAAAAATCCTATCTTCATATAAAACATCTTACCACAAACCATGACAAATAGTGAGGCGTTACATCATCTTCACGAGTTTGTGGTAGAGTACATCCCAACAGAAGTCCTTACACATATTAAAGTAAGCATTCACATTGTGTTCACCGATTTAAAGTGTACATTACATACTTTTCTTAGGGCTTTTATGGGGAAAAAATATATATATTTCAAATAAGAAATAATCTCTTTGGCAACATTATTTGGCAATCATCTGCTTGTTTAGTTAGAAGTTTGGAGAGAAAGAAATGTTTATTTAACTGAGTTGACTGAAGACAAAAGACAGCCAATAGTTTTTTTTTTTTAGAAGATTGATTCAATATTCCTGCAACAGCCATAATGTGGTTCTTAACCCGCAAGGAGGCAGTGGGTGTGAGCTTTGATCTTATGACAGAAATTTGAAGTAAGAATCTACTGTCCAAGGAAAAATATAAGCATCAAATGAGACCAAAAGTACCTCAAAGTTGAAAAAAAATAAAAAAAATTCTATTTCATTTACTATTTCAAATCAATTCCATGGAGAACATAGTTATTTTTAAACTGCAAATCCATTCTGTTAAATTACTGGAGAAACTAGAAAGTAATAGGAGTTTTAACTTGCTTACTGTGTTCCCCTCATTTCATTGCACCCTCCAACACTCTGTTTTTGGCGAGAATGTTGTGAACAATACAGATAATATATAAAATGTTCGGAACCTACAGTACCAGGCAGGAGAGTCTGTCTTAAGTCTAACTGGAGACCTTATTACTTACCACACTATATTTCCCTCACACACCAAAAGCTTTAAAATAAGACGAAAAGAGAGACATGACAATTACCAACCTCTCAATGTCAAATATCATCATTTTTTTTTTTGGTGTCCATTAATACATGAACGAATGCAGAATTCAACATCCTTTTTTTACGTACAGTTAAAAAAGAGACAAATTACAGTAATAATTTAATAAATTCTTGGACAAACGAAAATAATACCAATTCAATTTTTTTTTTCCCAAGTCAGCGAGAAATCCATCTCTATTGACCCAACATGCCAAGATGTACATAAAAGTCATACATACACACAAGTACCCTCACAGACAGTCACACAGTCACACACATACAGAAAGACTTCCATACTCTTAACAAAAACATTCACTCAGACTCTTATCACCAGTAAGCCTTTATGGAGACTATGAATGTTCTCTCATGCACATAATTATTCTGTTTTATAATGGATGAGTCTGAACTGTTGCTAAGAGTTTAGTGTAAGCCTGAAGTAGCCAACCCGCTTCAGCTCACGAGATGACCACACGGTAGCACCTTGTCTACACTGGACAGGAGACAGCATCAACAACTCGAACTTGGGGAGGGGGGTCACTGGATATCGTCACTTCCTTCTACAAAACGACCAATTTGATAAATATATATATCTATAAATATATTCATTCTTGATTTTACTGTTATAAGATATGTTTGTTAATCCACCATAAATATTTATTCATTGTTCCAGGACAAATTCAGATAAGTGACAATCCGCCGTAAACATTGAATAACACACCGATGAACAATAGAATCTGTGGATATGTGTGTGTGTACCATTTATAATCAAATCAGACAAAAAACTTGGTTCATGTGAGTAGAGGACTAGGTGTGTCCATTTCCTGTGTAGCCAAACCCAGATGACAACACCACTTTATGTGAGGAGAGATACCAGCCATGGAACTTATGTTAGAAAAAAGAACACGACCTTTGTTACTTCAACACAAAGGCTTTTCTTATCACCGTGATACACTTCCTGATAGACAGTTAATGTGCAACACTTACCCTCCCTTAGTCTAATAAAAGTTTTGGCTATAAGTTTGCTTCATGTCCTGTCAACACAAAGCCCACTTATCAGCGAAGACGAATTTCACCTTCTGTTGATTTAACATAATACCTGGACACAGTCTTCCTTCATATAGTCCACACCTGTACTTTTTCCGCAATAACGCACCAGTTAGCGTGGTCGTAGTACGAGGAGATAATGTGGAGGTTGTGCACGTATTTTTCAATGAGTTGGTCCAGTTCTCCCTCACGGAACACATGGTAATAGCGGTGTAGTGTTGGTGCCCCGCCCATGTCGCTCTGAAGGGAGTCCTGTGATGTGGACAAAGATGCGTCACGACTCAAACCACCCTCCTTCTGATTTCGTTCTGCCTTCTCCAAGTCCAAGGAGCCGCTGCGAACCAAAGGTGGCGAGGACTTTGACGCTGCAGACTCTTTTTCTCTCGCCGAGTCAAGAGAACCCTGTGATTTAAGTTCCCCTCTTCGACAGCCATCTGCCTTTCCCTGAGACGTAGATCGTTTTTTAGTGGAGATGCCTAACTGCTGTTCCTTAGACCCGAGTACACTAGCCAGCTGCTCCTGCTTCTTTTTCTTCTGTCGCTTGTCATTTTCTCGTGCACATAAGCGACACGTGCTTTTTTTACCAGTCCCACTATCCTTTTGCTTGTTATCCTCTATCCTAACCTTTAAGGAACTACCATGGGGTTTTCTTGGTTTAATGGGTCCGTCGTCCTTGTTGTCACTCTCTTTGGTGGGACTCTTACTTGATATGGGAGCGCTGCGTTGCTTGGCTTCCTTTGTTATCTCATCTATATCTAATCTAACTCTGCTATTTCGTTTAGGTTCTTTGAGTACAACTGGTTTTGCTGGTTCTTTAAAAGTGCCATGGTTAGGTTGTGATTCTTCTGGACTCAACAATGGTAAACTGCTTTCGCTGCGATTCATTCTGAACATATCAAACGAAAATGGATTTTCTCGAAAGAAGGACATGGCTGCATGTGAGCCAGATCGAGACTCACCGCTGCTGGTCGACAGCGTTGGGGAACTAAGAAGAGGACTCCTTGACATTGGATCCTCCTTTCCCAAATCTCGGGGTATTGAAGAAGACGTTGAGGACACACTACTGCTGGGGGAGAGGGAAGACTTACAAGGAGAACTAAAGGGCAACTCCAACGCACCCTTCTTTGCCTCCTGGCTCTTCTTCTGTCCTGAGGATTTATCAAATTCTGAGATTCCCTTCAAAATACTTTCTGGGGAAAATTTTCCTCTCCAGGCAGTGTGTGGTGGAAGATTCACTGTTTCGGTTATAGGCTTGATGGCTACCTCGGCCCATGGCTTCATCTCGCTTCTCCCGACGGTGTCTGGCCCCAGGGGTGAGAGAGCCTTGCTTTGTTGGTGGCGTTCAGGGACCCGACTTCTGAAACTCTGTCTCTCTAAGAATGAGTCGGGACTTCTGGAGGGCTTCTTTGTCTCTGGCTTATGTTCTACTGTGTGTTGTAAAGGCAATGGCTGATCTAGGTGACCTATGGTGAGTTTACGTCTGGCTTTGGGGCTTCTCTTCAGGACTGGTTCTATGGCAGAATCAAGCGACGACGTACTACTGCTGGTTATTGCCATTAAGGACGGCGATGAAGTGGACACTTTTGATCCATCCTCCAGCTTCTTGTCCACGTTAACAGCACCTGTGCCGGCCACGCTGGCTGACCGCTGTCTCATGGACTCCAGCTCTCTTCTTGCGATTCCTGTGGAGGTAGTGAAGTTAATTTACTCTGCTAAATACTTTTTACTCCATGGCACTGACTGGAATAATTATTAATTTTAAGCCAAGATAATTTTAGTCTATCGTTATATAATATTTTTATTTTATGTCAAAGAAACAATTTCATTAAGTGTTGGATCACTATATAATAATCAGACAATAGTATAACATCATAGAAGGTCTACCTAAGGATATACTGTACTGTGATACCTGTATTAGGTTGTTTTAAGGATATTACATGACAATATTCTATAATAAAACTACATTAGGTATTTAGCAAAAGAAGAAGTAAAGGATCTAGATGGAATAAGGTACTATGGCAAGAGTTACCTATGGATGCCGGCTCGATATATGATCTAGTGAGGGAGGTGGACCTGGAGGGCGTCTTAGGGAGCGGCTGGGACTTAACCACTAGAGGCGAGGGTGGTACTCTACACCCCCTCTTCTTGTCTGTTTTTGCTCCGTTTAACTCAGTTCCTGTCGAGATGGAGTTTTGTGTAATTTGTACATATTATACAAAAATCCAATCAAACAAAAATTCCAGTGTTTATTGTAATTTATTATCTGTGCTTGTGAGGTGTATTGTGATGGTACTGTAATCTCTGTACCTGCACTGTAACTTGCATCTAAACTTGCACTAAAGTTTCTGAATTAATGTAATAAAATAAAATATGAGTCACTATAATTTACCACAATTATGCTCACTTCCGCCTCGACCATAACAACACCTACAATACTTCATTAAATGTCTAAAGGACTACTGTTAGACGTTCAACACTAAGATGGGTTAAGATGTTTAGTTACTTGGGTACTCAATAGACTCAGCCTATAGCTTCTAACTTTAGGTGAGGTCTACAGCCTGTGTAATACTAAAAGGTTTATCAGGTTAGTACACTAAGCATCTATCGTGAGTGAAATCTTACCTGAATGTTCGCCGGCATCTTCACTTATTGTGTCCATACGGTGAACGTCTTCGACTAAGGATAATTTGGGCATCTCAGGAGCTGGCGGTATGACCCTTTCGGTAGCAGCCGCCCCTGAGGAAGGCACAGGACGACGACGTTCTTCCTCTTCTCGACGTTTAATCTCACGGTCTAGTTCTTCGATGTCTCTCTCAGTGGGCCAGCCACGTTCAATCACAGAGCTCCCTGAGTTGGGGGAGGAGCTGGCTGAGGAGTCACTGTCTAGGTCGTCAGTCTCAGGGTTAAAGACATCAAAGGTCAAGAAACGAGGCACAGTCTTGCGTACAATTTGCACATTCCGGCTGCCACTGCTTCCAGTCTTTCGAATTATTTCCACGTTTTCACCCAGAAGAAGTGACGAGAGCTGTTGGGTGAAGCTGGTATCTCGCTTCACTACTTGTGGTTCGTATTTAGGTATGTATTTACTCAGCTGTGAAGAGGTTTGCTGGGAGGGTTGTGTCGAGGTAGGAGCCTTTACAGAGGTAGTTGGCTTAGTGGAAGTTGGGGATTTCTTTGGATCAGGGGGCACCTCACTGGTAGATTTCCTAACCAGAGGCGGTGATTCCGTAGGCACAGCTTTGGGAACCGTTATATGAGAGAAATAGGAACCTCCGGGTGAAGACATGGTTGGTGGTGGTGTGCCAGGAGGTGTTGTCCCACTATGGCTTATAACACGCCCGAGGCTTCCACCGCGCCCAGTTAGGGGTCTCGGCGTTGTTGTGGCTACCGTACGGATAGTTGGCACTTCACGACTAATGGTAGACTCACTTTTTGTTATTTCAGGAATTGGTAAAGGACTAGGGACTGAGACTGGAATATCCTGCGGGGCATCTGAAGGAGGACTGATACGCTGTTGTTGGTCAGGTCTCGACGGCCCTCCCAGAACTTGGGTGCCCATCTTCGGCCCTGTCTTAACCCCTCCTTTAGCTCCCAAGTAGCGCGATGGAGCAAAGTATCGGCCACCGGGACCTGGAGATTTAGGTGATTTAGGCGACTTGGGTGACTTTGGGGAATGTTGTTTATCAGAGCCTTCTGAAGACTCTGAGGAAACAGATCGGTTCCGTTCCTTGTCAGTACCATTAATACCAGCCTGACCTGGCTTGGGAACAAATATCACAGACACACAGCTGTCTTCAGAGTCAAGACTAGTGTCGCTCTGAAAACTGTTTTCTTTCGAACTGTCGGAACTTTCCTCGCGGGAAGATTTTCTATCACTCGGTTCTCTGCCTAAGAACTTTTTCTCCATCACACACGTCCTTGCCTTATCAGCCAGAGTATCGTTGCCATCACTGGACCTCCCCAACTGGTTTATACTTTGAGCTCTAGGTCTGGTCTCGTTGTGTTTCTCGTCTAACTGATGGTCCACGTCCCCAGACTCCTGGTGGAGGTCATCCTCCTGGTCAGACTCCTCACCAGAGGTCGGTCTGGACTCCTTAGTTACCAGGATCTCACTCTTCCAGGACTGTAAGAGCTTAACAATACCTTTCTTTAGGGAGGAATCAGACTTTTCTCTCTCAAACCGATCAAGACTTGCAGTTCGTAGTCTCTGAAAGCTTTCACGTATATTCTGAAGTCTTTTAAACTGAACCGTAAATAATGACTCTCTCAGTGTCTCTTGCTTCTCCTCTTTATTCCCATATATCAAGTCTTCGTTGAGTGAACTTTGTTTCTGAATACTCTGTTTTAGTTTTTCTTTCTCTAAAAATCTATCTATACATATAAATTCATCATTGAGTGAACTTTGTTTTATGATACCTAGTCCTTTTGGGATACTTAAATGGTCCTTATCATCCGTTGCAACAGGCACAGCGACACTTTCCGAGGCTTTTGGAGCTTTACTTATTTCTATAACTATAGGTGTTTCTACATCACTTACGTCACTTTCATTAATAGAGGCTTTTTGTTTTTTAAGGATAGGTCTTTTCCTACTCACCTGTGGACTGCCCCCCTCCTCACCACACTGCTCCTCCACCACAGTGTCTTTCTTTATGTCCTCACTATCACCCCGCTGTTCACCAGACCCCTTCACCACCGGCACTACTTTTGAACTTTCAATCGAGATTTCATGACTAGAGAGAGAGAGACAAGAGGAGCTAGATTTTGAGCGCAACACACTGCTCGGCACTTCACTAATTCTCTTGGTGTCCAGTGCTTCCCGACTGATGGATTTTTTCCTTGCCAAGAATGTCCCCGGAGGTCCTAGGGGATTCCCCGGTGATCGCGGCGACGCTTGCACTAGGTCCGTCAGGCTCTTAGACTTGGCCTTACTGTCATGGTCCCCAGCGACAGAGGCGGAGGTGGTGTGCAGGGGAGGTGCGGGGGAGAGAGGAATGTCGAGGAGCGCCGGATCATCAGGCTCCAGATGTCGCAGCTCAATAGGCACATCGTCCAGGTTCTCCTGCGAGTCCAGGGAACCATCGTTGCTGACTGAATGGCGTTGGCCCTCGCTGAAGGAGGGCCGAGGCTCTGAGGCTCCTCCAACCTCCATGCTAAGGGAGTGGCTGTCAGATCTAAATGCCGTGAGGCTTCCACCATGCATGAACCAAGACCTGCCTGACGCAGACGACCCGCGACGACTGCTGGTCAGCTTCTGCCAAATAACCACAGATATAAACAAGAAAGGAATCGATTATCATTAACTTCAGAGTATCTCAGTATCTTATTATCTCATGATTAACTTGCAAATATATCTCAAGATGGACAATATATACTCAACTCTTTTTCTATATTTCATTTATAACATTATCAAAGAGTAAGAACATCACAAATAGTAAAAATGGTAAAAGTAGACATGCTAGCATTGAAGCAGAAATGGTGAGGGTGAGATGCTGAGGAGGGAGAGAGAGAGAGAACAACAAAAAACAGTGATAAACCAAACATGCTATTAAGACATCCACAGAATTAACAAAGCTCTTCAACAACAATCTACTCAGGAAAAAGCACACAAGTTACTGCTTCAACTATGTAAAAAAACTAAAAAAAAAATGAAATACATTATAAAAGACCTTGCAAGACCTTCAGATGGTTCAACACCGACGAGGTAGTAAGTAGTGTACATGACATCTGAAGGAGGGGCTGACGTAGCAGGGAGGCAGTGGGAGTACAGTACACTGAGGCTTGACTTACAGGGACTACTAGAGGCAACTAGAAGCCCTAAGGTGATCAAAAGTCTCATGCAATCAGTTATAAAGAGAGATACAGTGAAGCTTCTATTTAACGGACCATATGGAGGGGGAAAATCCGCTATATGGAGGAGGAAGTCCGTTATATGGAGGAGGAAATCCGTTAAATGGAAAAGAAAATCAGTTATATCGAGGGTCCGTTAAATGTGAAACACCCATCAAATAGATTATATAGATGGAAGTTCGTTATATCGAGGACCCGTTAAATATGAAACCTCCATCTAACGAACTATATACAGATGAAAGTCCGTTAAAAGTCACATTACTCACACACAAACATAAGACTAAACTAAGAGAAGTGACAGGCTCCGTCTATTATTATTATCTGTCAATCTGTAGTTCTTCCTGTTCCCCGTCTCGGCTGTTCCTTCTGTCCCCTGTCTCGCCTTAAGCGGCTGAAAACTCACACAGTACATGACAGCCGCTTCAGGAGATAACGATATTTTTAGGGTAACTAGTCCACAAAAAATTAACCAAGACGATTTTATTATTTTTTTTTTCGTGGGGCAGGAGGGGAGGGGGAGGAGAAGGGGAGGAGAGGGAAGGGGGAAAGGAGGAGAGGGGGAGGAGAGGGAAGGGGGAAAGGAGGAGAGGGGGAGGAGAGGGAAAGGAGAGGGCGAAGGAAGTGTATAAATTGACGTGAAAAAAAATCTTACATACCCTGAAAGCAAAATACATCGTAATATAAATTCCTAACACATTTCCAATCTATTCCACGCCGCCTTGTTCTTTGAGATCTCTTATTGAAACATATAAATTAATTTGAACTATATACAGGTGAGATTTAGTATATATTAAGTGTTTCAGTAAATTATTAAAGCAGGAGGACAGGCATCACTTTACGGTGTCCTGATGATTTCGGGGGTAATTATAATGAACAACAGTAAATTATAATACACTAACTGTCTCAATAATTATCTTAATGGCTTATTGCTGCCATAACGATTGAAAAAGAAGCCTGAAAGATATATGGTGTTAAATATAAGTGATATGAACTTCTGTTGAGTCGGTTAGGAGTATCATTCAGGAGTGTACAAATGTCTCTAGTTCCTGCGATGTTGCAGGAAACAGGAAGTTGTCTCAGTACTGAAGGTCAAGGCTGATGATCGGTAAACTCTCGTCTATAGTAAAACATGACCACGGAATGATCAGGATATAAAACTACCCAAACACCGAGTAACGTGAGGAAAATATACCCATAAAGTCTTAAACTGTAGTTGGTGGACAAAATCTCTTGACTTTGGCTGGAGGTTTTGATGCCTTACCCCTGGAGTTGGGGGCTCAACTCAGGGGCTTCACCAACACCGTACGCCCTGGTAATGTCTCAGTACTGCATACAACAATGACATATAGAGGTGTACTGTGATGTGGTGTACCTCTTATTTTGCTCAGTTTTCTCCCATGTAGTTGCGTTACTCAGCCCAATGACCGTCCGTCTGTCTTGGTTGATGTACTGGATATAATTTCCCCGTTGTTTTGTAAAGGGAAGTTTGTTTCCCCCTTAAAATGTCCCTAGTTTTACCCTCACCGCCATCATGAGCTCCTTTAATGGCTCCACTCCCAGCCAACACGGAAGTTCTCTACAGCGCAGGAAGAATGGTTTTCTGTGAGTAACGGAGGACTGAGATAATGTGACAGGTACTATAACGGAGTTTCTCTTGGTCGAACAATATTTGCGCACCAGTCTTACTCCAGTGTTGCAGGATATCAAGTTCCCTTAAACTTAACCCTGAACACAAGGCTGAGGTTAGCATACATTAGTGAGATAACTCTACAATAACAGCTTCCTTAATGGCAGTATCATATCCCCACAAGTGAGAGGGAGGCAGGGAGGACCTCCACCTCCTTATCAGCTGTTGCCAGGCACGCGTTGCTGCCAGACGTGCAATTACTGTAATTCAACATAAACAATCATTGACCTAATTTTGGCTAAAACTTAAACCATCGTAATAAAGACGAATATATTTCATAAATTGACGTATTACTGCTTAATGGCAGGCAAAGTACAACGCAACACTGTACGATAAGCTTGGTGCTGGGGATTATGGGAGGCTTACTAGTTGCCAGCCCCTCTCACGACCCCTTCTGTGTACAGGAAATATTCAGTACAGCACAAAACTAACTCTCAAAATAACGTGAATTTTAAACACCAAAACAATTATTAAACATTTATACACAACATTATTCAGACTCAACCTAGACTATACATTAATTCTTCTCAACTCACAAAAAAATGGCAATACAAAAGTCTTCCGTAGAGCAACACAAAAGACCCCACACAGACACACAATCAGAGATATACTATACACGAATAACGTAATGCCACAGAACATCGGTAAACATCCACACATGCCAACGTTATCTCTGAATAAAAAAAGTGGAGATGGTAGAAGAGTCGAACCCCCCGGAAGAGGAGTCGATCCCCCAGAGAATAAAGAGGAAGAGATCAAAGACTCGGTTAGGCCAAGCTACCCCCCCAGCAACAAGATCGGATCACATGAGGATTAGCTCCACCTCCCCCCCCCCCCTCTAGGTTATTCCTCCTTAATGCTATGTGGAAAAGGTGGGAGGGGGTTAGATTAGGTTAAGGAACGTTAAGTAATGTTACGTTAAGTTAGATTAGGGTAACTTAGATTAAGATTGGTTACGTTAGGTTAGTTTAGGTTAGAGTAGGTTAAATTAGGTGAGCATTAGGTTAAGTCTGGTTAGCATTAGGTTAAGTTAGGTTAGCATCAAGTTAGATTAGGCTAGATTAGATTAACATTACGTCGATTAAACTTTAAAATTAAATAACCTGGGGAGGGTAATCTTCATGTAATCCAGATTAACAAAACGGAAATTATGATGAGGTGACGTGTCCAGAATCAACAAGGAGTGGAAGACAGGTCAACCCACACACACACTCTGGTAGAAAGAACACGACCAAAACACGACCAAAACACGACTAAAACACGACCAAAACATGTACAGTACGACCCTTTAGCGTAACTAGAGAGAACTTGAAATAGTACCAAAATGTTGTTGGTTATGTTAGAGTAGACGTTTGGGATCACCTGAAGAATTAACCCCTCCAATCTATTTAACCCAATGATTGTACAGCCTAATGATATCTTAGGGGCTTAGATTAAGTTAGGTTGTGTTAGGTGAAGTTAGGAAGTGTTAGATTAGGATAGAATATATTAGGTAAGTTAGGATAAGTTAAGTTAGGTTAAGTTAGCAATTCAGCGGATAAACCTAAGATAAAATAACCTGAGGGGGCGCTAATCTTCAGGTGATCCAACGTTAATTACCAAATACCTTCACACCTTTACAAGAGACCTGTAGCCTCAATCACAAGACTTACCATGCAAAAAAAAAATCTTACCTTTCCTTCAATTTTTATCTATCATTTTTTCTGACTAAATAAACAGTAGATGTTCCTTCTTGTCATAATATATTGAGAGAATTTTGTTCCATAAGTGTACATTATTTTTCGTCACTGTCACTTTTGATTTGTTGAAAGATACGAGGGTAGACTTTTTTATCTTCAATTTTCGTCAGTGTGTGTGTGTGTGTGTGTGTGTGTGTGTGTGTGTGTGTGTGTGTGTGTGTGTGTCAAATTACTGCACCTCAAACACCTGGCCGTAGGATTTCTTTAAAGAGTTGAAGCTATTAAAATATATTAAATCCTTCTATATATAAATACCTAAATACATAAATGAAATGCAGTTTTATGGATTAAAATGGATTTGTTTGAATATTTCCTGTGTAGTATAGTAAAAAATAAAAGTAATCATATCTTCTAACTAAAAGATTATTTCCTTTTCGCTTTGAACCTTTAGATAAAACAAATACAATATATTACCTTGTTACCCCGAGTTTTAATTTAATGCTACTCAATGAATCAACCTTGGATATCTCTGCAAAAAAATATCGTTTGTTATACTGGTAAATAAAGAGTAATCCCTGTGTGTAATTCAGAGCTCAGAGCCCCAATGCGCCTGTCAACTTAACCGAAATACTGTATGTCAACTTAGACCGCCATCTCGTTACGTCTCTAAGCTGTATATTTCTGAAGCCTCTACGCCCTCTAGTGTACTATCACCATCAATAATGCTTTATCTCTACACAGAATTATACACTTTCACCATCTTGTACAGTCGCTTAAAAAAAAATCCTTTCGACTCTCCTGCTATCTTCATGAACCACTAGATTCAGATTCATGAACCTTAAGCTTCCATGGAGAAAATAATACACGTGTCTACTGCTTCGGGTTCACGAGTCTGAACCTTGAGTCGACAGAACGCTAACATAATGTAACATGTCATTCCATTCTCGACTCTTACTTCTCAAGACCAAAAAACTAAGTCTATCTCATTAAGTTCAGCTATTGGAAAACCTTTATACTACTTGGACGATGTAAGAATGGTAGATCTTTTCTCTGGGTGTTAAATTTTCATTACTTATAAGAATGCTGAGCCATATACTAGTTAATATATCATTTAAGATATACTGCAGTGGCTACCTATAGTGCTATACAGGTAACACCATTTGGGAAGTTGATATATACCGTAATCACTACAATATTGCTATACTATCCTGTCCAATACTGTAATCACTGTTGACATTGCTATACTATCCTGCCAAATACTGTAACCACTGTTGACATTGCATTATCATCACATACAGAAGGCAGGATGGTAGGTCTTCATTATACGTTCACTGTAATAATATTTCCATGCTTAAGAATATCACTATCCACTATCATAAACTACACAATACACTATACCTTCCTTCCCTATACATGCAATATCTATGTTTTTTATGTATAAATTTGTTCATTATACATCACTACCAACCAGACAATACATTCATTCAGTACTATGGGATTTTTCTAACATTATTCATATATACACAACGTTGACTAAGACAATATGTACGTTCATTAATACATTCAGTATCTACAGGTATGGTTCTATGTTTTAAGTTCCAATAGCAGCAACAACCCTACGCGCTATTTTCTCGATACTAGAACGCTAAGGCTATTTTTTTTTATCTCCTTGAATGGACCGTATCTCAAAGCATGTGTGAATATAATCTAGTAGAAAAAAATAGGTGCACTTGCATCTAGATCCCTGAAACATGCAGTGCAGAAGGAAATGATCTTACAGCAGTTTGTTTTCTCATCTAGTTTACAGACAAAAAAAAAATTCTAATAATTTTTTTGGTTAATATAAAAACTAGCGTCAAGATGTTCAGACTATTAAAATTCCCACAAATGAGAGAGATAAGATGGAAGTGTTAGGAAAGCTTGGGGCCACCACCTCGTGAGACTCAGGTTTCATCTCCCGTCTGCGAGGATGGGAAGACTTGAGTTATGTTTACAGGAAAATTCAAATCCCGATCGTAAATCAAAGATGGCCGCAACCTTTAAAATTTTACTGGAGAGAAAAGGGGAAAATGAAGTGTAGATATTAACACAGAGGAACAAACACTGCTCTATCCGCCTCAATCAACCTGCTGGCTATTGTCGGAGGCTACCTGTAGGGCCCGTCGCACGAAGCTGTAGCAGGACTCGTTGGGGCTACTGAGGTCAGAGGAACTCTGCGACGAGGAGGCCGCACCCACGGGGTCTATGGCGCGGGACCTCGTGCGTCGCCGGCCATTTCTACGGCTCCCATACCTGTAGAAGGTCTGAGAGTTAGTGTGTGAAGCTATTATTCTTGTACAGTGTCTGAGAGCTAGTGCGTGACGATCCCATACATGTAAAAGGGCCAACAAGTGGGAGTGTGAATCTTTTCCACCTGGCAAAAGGTGAGAGGCTATCATACTTGACTAATGTGTGGACGTTAGTGTGTGAGGCTATCATACTTGAGTCAAGACATGTGTGGCTGCCAGAAATACCAAAGTCATATGAATGTCCGACCTATAGAAGGGCAAGAGAGGTGGAGGTGGAGAAGATCACAGACTTGTACAAGGTTAAGTGGGTGGGTGTGGTGTCATACCTGGACGTTGCTAAGTCAGGTAGTCACTGGAGGCAGAAACACACGACCTTCTATAACTTAAACAGGTTAGATGAGAATAACACTGGAGAACTGTGTGACAAAATCAACTCAATGAGGACATAAGATGGAAGTGTTTTATCAATGTGAACGATAACATATGATAAGGTAAATGAATTCAGATATTTGAGATTTAATTTGGCTAATGTTTACAGTGGGAGTCTGGATAATGGCAGGGTGAGGAGTTGAAGTTTCTGGGCAAGAGAGTATTGATGAACAGGACAATGTAAATGTACAGAGTATGAGACAGCATGACCCAACACTCCTGTATGGTAAATAAGCAAACACACACCCATGGCTTAGTCACTCAAAAAACTATCGTTACAAAAGTGTGTTGAAAAAATATGACACAACGGGTGAAGGATTTTGACAACCCTACTGAGACAATAGGAGTCACAGTGTTCATTCTGAAATTCATCGATCACCCCGAGTACAGATAGTTTTTTGAGTGACAGTACATAGTATATTAACCCGAGCATGCTAACTTCATTTCTAGATTAATAATAACATAAATTGAACAATCTTAAGCATACCTCAAAATATGTATATTATCATTACTCTTATCATCATCACCATAATTACCTTTTATAATATCAAGAACAGGTACAATGTAAAGTGATCTAGTATTCTTAGTATTCACGAAGCCGCCTTATTTACTGCCAGTTCTTCACAATAATAAAACACAGTCACCAAACGCCATGACAAAATCTAGACTTCTATAACCACTTCCACCACCACAGCCATCCTGGTTCAGACACCCAGCATCAGCACTCGAGGTGGCAAGGAGAACGACGAAAACAAATTCACTTAACAGATCCATCAGTCAGTGAAGAAAAGCGTTCATTATGGTGCTAAGTGCAGGTAAAGGGAGGGATGGGTGATGCACAGCTAAGGTCATCCAGAAGCTAAATGCAGCTGTTGGTGTAAATGTGTCCTTTAAGAGAGGCGAGAGACCAGCACTGGGGAAAGAATTTAAGCCTCCCCCTACTGATTATCTCTTAATTGTGGACCATACATCACAGTACAGTATATACCAGGAAAAAACTAATGTGGTTTAGTTTTAAATAATACTTCACCATCACAGGCTCATGTACTGGGTTTACTACATGTCAGAATAATAACTCCAAGAAGGCCCTACATTTATGAACGGTATCTGAGGAACCCGATAAGGGAATCCAGCGTTTCAAATATGATGCCTAAAACGTTTTGACGATAATTACGCCAGTGTTTCCATCAGCTGACTCGAATCTTCTATTTTCCCATAACGATTCCTCTCAGTAAGTTATAAACACTGTCAATTGATTTTTGTCATATGAATTCTTTCACATCTGTCACCAATTTGGGGGATGTAAATTCTGTGCCGTTCACAGTTCTACTCTGGGTGTATCTACAGAGGCGATAGCTACCTGTCTCTCACTGCTGGTACACGTCAGCCAGACTCACATTAGGTTCTTTCGTCTCACCTATTGGAGGGGCAGGAGTCACTATCGCTGTGGTTGTGTGCGTGGTAGTGTAGGAGGTCATCATCATCCGTGGTGGTGGAGTTGAGGTCACGCTCGATGCTGGAGGCCTTGTCATCACTGGAGGACTGCTCGGGCCGGTGCCATGGTACAAGCACGTCCTGAGATTCGAACTGAAAAAAATATATTAATGTTATTCTTAAATTGCTATGATTATAAATTGATAGAAGATTCTGTTTAAGGTTCACTCTTCTGATATTTATTTTCTGTTTAGATTTTACAGAATGAACAGGAACAATTCTGATCACGAGTAACTGCTTTTAAGAACTCGAATGTAAACACAACAAGCACAGCGTCCATAAAAAAAAACTATGGGTAAGACTGCTCTGAGGAGTCAATGCCTTAGTAGATAAAACTCTTACTGAACTAGAAAGTATTTTTGTCTTATTAGGATGAAATATGTGTTCTAAAGTTAAAAGAACGATTAAAAAATTATCTGAGGTTAAGTTTATGGTTTTGTTATGAGGATGGAGAGTTTCCTAAACGTCCAAGTATTACAGAGTGTTTGAGTGGCCCATTGTTCCTGTATACATAGAAAGCTGTGACATGATAATCTTTAAGCTTCGAAAATCATTACCAGTAAACTTTCCCCGAGATGAAAAACCTGATGACATGTACACAATCGGAGTTAAAAGTTCACTCCCGTCCAAAATGAATCAGTTATCGACCCCCCAAAATGATTAGAAACAGTCAGGGGGTAAATGAGTTCGGAGACTCATTCCCATGACTCAGTTTCACCACAGGGAGTGAACTTTGGTCCCTGACTGGTACATACGAAAGCCTTCCAAGAATAGTTAAACCATAAATACCTCATAACATTTATTAAGACGTAAATCAAATAATCTAAACAGACTTCAATTGAATCTGAAACTCTGATATTGATTTATACCTGTGCAAGATTATTTTTTTTTTGGTACAGTTGGCCTTGAAACACATTACATCAAGGTGTAATTTCTCTGCTTTTGTATGTAATGTTGAGTAAAAAAAAAAGCTTGTATCATTTACTCTTGCATCGCCCGCAAGCCTGACAATCACAGTGTTAAGTTAGAGTGATTATAATTAAAGGTCATCACACGCTATCAGAGTTCAGACATCCTCCATCACACGCTACCCAAGTTCAGACATCCTCCATCACACACTGTCCAAGTTCAGACATCCTCCATCACACGCTACCCAAGTTCAGACATCCTCCATCACACACTACCCAAGTTCAGACATCCTCCATCACACGCTACCCAAGTTCAGACATCCTCCATCACACGCTATCCAAGTTCACATACATCCTCAAACACACACTACCCAAGTTCTCAGACATCCTCCATCACACACTACCCAAGTTCAGACATCCTCCATCACACACTTACACTGTACCCAAGCTCACACACATCCTCCTGGCTAGCAAAGGTAACCAAAGGACCCCCAAACCACACATCCTTCCAATACCTTCCTATGTCGTTGCTCCATAGCCCAAACACTGATCATGAGACGTCCTCCTATCTTGAGGATTCTGGCCAGTTCCCTGAGGGCCCGCACACGTCTCTCGGTGGTGGCGAAGTGGTGGATGACGGCGATGCTGAGAGCGGCGTCGAAGGATTCGTCTCGGAAAGGTAGTGCTAAGTTGTCACTCACCATCACCTGTAAGAACGTCAGTAGGCATTAGTGGTAGAAACTGCTGGGTATAATTAGTGAAACCCTCCATATACCGGACTTATATATGTATAAACCGTTATATAGAGGGTTTAGATCTAATGGACCCTTGATGTGAAACCTTCCATATACCGGACTTGTATATGTATAATCCGTTATATAGAGGGTTTACATCTAACAGACCCTCAATGTAAACCCTCCATTTAACGGACTTAGATGGGGGTATTCACATCTAACGGACCCTCTATATAACGGACTTTCCCTTCCACATAGTCCGTTAAATAGAGGTTTTACTCAACAGAACAAAAACAACAAAAACATAAAATACAAAATCCCAGAACGAATCACCGTGAAAAATAACCAGGTAGGGGAGCAACAACAACAACAACAACAACAACAACAACAACAACAACAACAACAACAATAACAACAACAACAACAACAACAATATCAAGAAAAAGAACAAAACAGTAAAGAAGAACAAGAAATAAGAGGTCGGGTAAGACAAAGGTTGAGAATAAATAGAAAGATAAATCTCAATGTATAAAAATAAAAGGAAAATGAGAAAATAGAGGAATGTGGGGAGGGGGAGAGGGAGGGAGGAGGGGGTACAGGTGTTTCCTACCATTGGGAAAGTATTACGAGATTACTGGGGAGATAGTGGAGGGAGAGGAGGAGAGGAGGAAGAAGGAGAAGAAGGAGAGTTGGAGGGAGAAGCAGGAAGGAGGAAGGGAGGGAGGAGGAGGTAGAGGTTGGAGATGAGGAAGCAGGGTGAGAACGATGGAGAGGAGAGAAGAGAGAGAGAGAGGCTACAGTATCTACATCACAAAGTCTACCTACCCCTACAGTATTCCTAAATGGTATACACGTATAGATCATGACAACTTCTAAACCTGTTGTGTTACGAGGTCGACAGAGGTCAGATGTCAAGGTCAACAGCTTACCCGAGTGTTTACCGATGTGTAAATGTTAGTCTGACTCGCATACCAAGTGTTATTCCAGTGATTTGTTAGAAAAATGATAGAACTGTCGTGTAAATTATATTGTAAATGATAGAACTATTGTGTAAATGATAGAACTGTCGTGTAAATTATATTGTAAATTATAGAACTGTTGTGTAAATGATAGAACTGTCGTGTAAATTATATTGTAAATGATAGAACTATTGTGTAAATGATAGAACTGTCGTGTAAATTATATTGTAAATTATAGAACTGTTGTGTAAATGATAGAACTGTCGTGTAAATTATATTGTAAATGATAGAACTATTGTGTAAAATGATAGAACTGTCGTGTAAATTATATTGAAAAATATAGAAACTGTTGTGTAAAAATGATAGAACTGGTTGCAAATTATATTGTAAATTATAGGAACTGTTGTAAATGATAGAACTGTCGTAAATTATAGAACTGTTGTGTAAATGATAGAACTGTCGTGTAAATTATATTGTAAATGATAGAACTATTGTGTAAATGATAGAACTGTCGTGTAAATTATATTGTAAATTATAGAACTGTTGTGTAAATGATAGAACTGTCGTGTAAATTATATTGTAAATGATAGAACTATTGTGTAAATGATAGAACTGTCGTGTAAATGATAGAACTGTCGTGTAAATGATAGAACTGTCGTGTAAATGATAGAACTGTCGTGTAAATTATATTGTAAATGATAGAACTGGCAGGGATAAAACAAGACACATTTCCTGTATCACTGTATCCGTCACCAGCTGGCAGGGATACATCAATGACACATATCCATATATTCCTCACCAGCTGGCAGGGAAAAACATGACACATAACCCTATATTTTCCCCAACTGGCAGGGGAAAAACATAACACATTTCCTGTATCCATCACCAGCTGGCAGGGAAAATCTTGACATATATCTCTGTATTTTTCCCCAACTGGCTGCAGGAAGCGGGGGTAAAACGATAGACAAAGGGAGAGAAGGAGCATTTTATCCCTGTTTCTTAGGTTGAGAAGTGAAGGGTTAACACAGGAGGAGGAGGAGGAGGAGGAGGAGATGAGATATGGAAGGCTGAGGGAGAGATGACAGTGGTGGTTGTGCCGTCACTGTTACAAAGGCACTGTTACAAAGGCACTGTTACAAAGGCACTGTTACAACGGCACTATCGCAAGAAGAAACAACAACTTAAAGATCAAAGAATAAAAACATGCAAGAGTAGAGGAGTAGGTCGAGGACGAGGTGTAGGTCGAGGACGAGGTGTCGAGGACGAGGTGTAGGTCGAGGACGAGGTGTAGGTCAAGGACGAGGAGTAGATCGATAAGGTCGAGAACGAGGAGTAAGTCGAGGACGAGGAGATGGTCGAGGACGAGGAGTAGATCGATAAGTTCGAGGACGAGGAGTAAGTCGAGGACGAGGAGTAAGTCGAGGACGAGGAGTAGGTCGAGGACGACGAGTAGATCGAGGACGAGGAGGGGAGAAGGTCGAGGACGGAGTGGGGAGTAAGTCGAGGATTATATAGGGCCGAGGACGAGGCCGAGGAGAGGCCTGCGGACGGGGAGAAGGTCGAGACTAAGTCGAGACGAGGAGTAGGTCGAGACGACAACAGGAGTAGGTCGAGGACGGGGAGGAAGGTCGAGGACGAGAGAAGGTCGAGGACGAGGGAGAAGGCCGAGGACGAGGGAAGGTCGAGAACGGAGGAAAGGAAGAAGGGGAGGAGAAGGAAGAAAGGGGAGGAGAAGGAAGAAGGGGAGGAGAAGGAAGAAGGGGAGGAGAAGGGAAGAAGGGGAGGAGAAGGAAGAAGGAGGAGAAGGAAGAAAGGGGAGAAGAAGGAAGAAGGGGGAGAAGGAAGAAGGGGGGAGGAGAAGGAAAAGGGGAGGAGAAGGAAGAAGGGGAGGAGAAGGAAAGAAGGAGGAGGAGAAGGAAGTGCTAAAGAAGGCTAGAAGGAGCCATTAAGCTCGGGGGAGGGAGGAGGAGGAGGAGGATGAAACAAAAGAACATCGCTTACGTGTGATCGGTTACAACACGTTATCAGATAAAAAGACAAAATCAACAATAACATCTTTAACTACTTATCAATATATCTACAATGGCAACCTAGGACAGTTTACGTTTATTAATCTATTTTTTTAATTGGTTTATATATTTTATTACATTATTTTACTTCCAAATTATTTACGAATCTGTTATCAAGCCACCCTGTCTACTGACCCGGAAAACACTGTGGGTTAAGGGATGAACAACGCCTTAGCTGGTTTACCCTCCCCCCCCCCCACCCTAAAAACTGTTTTCATTTATTGGCTTGAAAACAATACCAGAAAGCTTTACTGGACAAAAAAAAGCTGTGAGATGATTTGTATGACCATAAATCTGTACACGTAACCATTATTCCTTAATCCGGAAAAACGAGTGAGAAGAAAACAGTGTGTGTGTGTGTGTGTGTGTGTGTGTGTGTGTGTGTGTGACCCCCATAAACATTCTCCTTTGACAGGTTTTCGAACATGTATTAACACCATTGATCCGACAAAGACAAACACCTCACCACAAAAAAAAAAAACTCAACAAAACAAAACACCTGAATAACCACTTAAACACAACACCTACTGAAGTTGGGATACGAACCCTGGACTCCTTGAATTATAGAGATGCAGGTAACGTGATAATTAGTAGCTCTCCCCACAACCTTCACCACCCTCCTACCTCCTACCTCTCCCCCCCCTGGCAGGAGAATTAAGCTGGGAAAGTTTCAATGCCTCGGGTCCTCCTGGGTTCGGCTGTTGGTCGAGTTTGGTCTCTGGTATCTGGTCGAGTCTAGTCTCTCTGGTGTTGGTCCAGTCTGGTCGAGTTTGGTCTCTGATGTATGGTCGAGCCTGATGTGTAAATGAGGGAATGGAGAAGAAAATACAATAAAGAGAGGAATAGAAGAACCAGCGGAGAATAAGGAGAAGCAGAAAAAGATAAAATAATAAAATGGAGAGAAGGAAATAGAGAGAAACATAGGGACAGATAAATGAAGAAAAGAGAGAGAGAGAGAGAGAGAGAGAGAGGAGAGAGAGAGAGAGAGAGAGAGAGAGAGAGAGAGAGAGAGAGAGAGAGAGAGAGAGTCAACACCCAAGTCAAAGAAAGGAATAGGTAGACAGGTAGGTAGGAAGGTTGAGGAAGGAAGGTAGGTAGGTAGGTAGAGGAAGGTAGATAGGTAGGTAGGTAGGTAGGGAGGTGTAGGTAGGGAGGCAGGTAGAGGAAGCGTGCTACTGGAGAGCCAAGCTTAAGGGTGGAGCAGACAAGGCCTCACTCGGGGTAAATGACCTCTCGCGTCAAGGCTGCTGCTGTGTGTGTGTATGTGTGTGTGTGTGTGTGTGTCGGGGCTCAGAGGCAGTGTACAGTCAGTGGGTTATAACAGATTGAAAGCATAGATTGTGGTTGTTTATGAACGCTGTTGTAGTTGTTGTAGTTGTTGTTGTTGTAGTAGTGGTTTGGAGTCTGTGTGTGTGTTTGTCTGTTTCATATTCACTCTCTGCCTCCCTCCTGCCCCTACCATACCGTCTCCCTCCCTACTACTGCCCTTCCCTTTCTCCTTCCTCTCCCCCTCCCTTTCCTCTGTCATCCTCCCTTTCTCTTTCCTCTCTGCCTCTCTTCCCCTTGTCCCTACCTCTATCCATTCTTCCCGCCCCTCTCTTCCCCCCTCCTTGTCCCTCCCACCCCTCTCCCTCCCTCCTCTCCCTCTCCCTAGTACTTACCTCATGGTCTCGCTCCCTGGCGGCGCCGGTGAGGTTGAAGCATCGGTCAACGCCCACCTTGATCACCTGCTGATTGATGTGCAGGTATTTGCCGTTACCACAACCTGTCGACCATAAACATCATCAAAACACACTCTTACAACACATTAACTCATCAACACACACTCTTACAACACATTAACTCATCAACACACTCTCCTACAACACATTAACTCATCAACACACTCTCCTACAACACATTAACTCATCAACACACAATCTTACAACACATTAACTCACCAACACACATCCTTACAACACAACAACATCAACACACTCTCTTACAACACATTAACTCACCAACACACTCTTACAACACAACAACATCAACACACTCTCCTACAACACATTAACTCACCAACACACATCCTTACAACACAACAACATCAACACATTCCCACAAACATTATCAAAGGTTAAACATCAATAATAAAATACTAAAATTGAGTTTATATTCTAATTACCAAAACAATGTTGAATTATGTGAAAAACTTAAAGTCATCTGTTGTTTATGTTTTGTGAATGGCTAATTAATCTTGTATGGGTTTACCTGAGTTATTTACCTCCACAGTTTGATTAGTAGTTCAATGTTATTTTTACTTTGTTGATCAGAATGACATTTGAGCTTGTTATCTTCGCTACTCAGAAGGTGGATTCATGGTAAGTTTCCTTCTTCATATATCATTCCACACATTCCTCCAAATACACCTGTACACACCATTCCAGGTATCACCCCCATACACGACACTCCAAACACACACACACCACTCTCCAAACACACATGCACACACACTTCACTCACTCACTCACTCACTCTCCACACGTTCACACCACCTCAGCTTTCCGTCTTATTAAGGAGGCTACACACACACACACACACACACACACACACACACACACACACACACATGCATCACTCCACATCTAGGTCAAGGAACCGCCGCGTTTATGATAGCGTCACCACAAGGGATTAATCTTACCTGTACATTACACCTGTGCCTCTGTTATTTTCACGGATATGCATTTCTAATCAATTTTCTGAATCTTAGCGTCTGTCTGCCTCTGCTTGCCTCTAGCGTCTGTCTGCCTCTGCTTGCCTCTCAGACACTTCCTCTCTCTCTCTCTGTTCTTCTCCATTCTCCTCTCACTCTCTCTCTCTCTCTATGCTTGACCCCACCCTCCTCTCACTCCACCTGACGCATCCACATCTTCCACCACTTCTCCATCTGTTTAGTCTCCACTTCACCACACTAGTCACAGATCCACCTTCCATCAGACACTACCTGCAGTACGTCACAACACACCTGTATATGGCTACTGTACTAATGAGTAACTTAATTGGACTCCACACACCTACACCCGAGGATGAGTGTTTGTGGTGAACTAATGTAATTCAATATTAATTTTCTACACAAATTCTAAGTAATCTAATAGAGAAATTATTTTTTCTGTATAAGTGAGTTTATAAGTAATGTAGTAAATTGGATCGTTGAACATGCAACAGAATGAGTTACAGGTGTTATGTGTTGCACCTGAGAGACGGCTGATACACGACACGTAATTGTGGGATTAAGGACAGTAATGTCTCAGAGTAAAGTCTCGCCCTCTAATACTGCTGGTAATTATCGTTTAGGGTTTGATATCTTAATACACACAGAGCGAGGCGGCTGACCCGTAGATTGTGTCTTAACTGGGTTAGCTTAATCTACTGTTAAACTGGTACACAGGGAACACAGCTGGTTAGTGGTGCGAGAGTCACCTGCTATAGGTACTGTATTGACTGGGTTTAATCCCTGATAGTGCATAGTGAGGGGGGGGGGTATACTGACCTACGTCGGCGACGAAGGAGCCAGGCTCGAGGTCAGTGAGGAACTGCCTGACGCGGGGCCAGGCACGGTAGCGGGAGCTGGAAAAGTGGGCCGAGATCTGGTCGTACACGTCGTGAACGTACGCTCGTTCCAGGGCCACGGACCGCGCCTCCCGCTCCTTGCGGCTCTCTTCGGGGCTCATTCTGCCTCCACACCCGCCCGCCCACGCCACGCCCGCACGCCCTCCTCACACTTCTGCCCACGCCACACCCGCCTGCAGCAACAGCAGCAGCAGCACCCTCACTGCCGCCCGCCACACGGCCCCCCGCCCTCATCCGGCTGCGGGGAAAAGAAAAATATTAAGTTAATAAAACTAGACAAAAGGCTGAAGAAAATGATGTACACCTGGAGGCTGACGACATGACCTGCCTGCCACCACCACTACCACTACAACCTGCCACCACCACCACCTGCCTGCCACCACCACTACTAACTAACCTGCCTGCCACCACCACCACCTGCCACCACTACCGATGAATACTGTGAGATAGTGGGAACCAACACTACCTACAACAATACCACACACTCAACCTCAAAACCTTAACCCCCCTCACAAACACACTCGCTAAAAATTTCTACTAACCCCAATTACTCAAAAGAAAGAAAAATAACAAATTCTACCTCACATTGGCAATAATAACCACGTAACACACAACGAAAATGAGTTAGGAATAAGAACACAGAGTTAGCGTGATGTTGCAGTAGTAAGTGAAACACGGGTTGTGGGCACCGTAGACTTGTTCACCCAGACCCACGCTGGCCGGTAGAGGAACACAGGATTATTTTATATATGTGAAGACAGTAAATTAAATGGGGAATGTTATTATGTGGATTATTAATGTATAGTAATAATAAGAGTAAATAATAATAATAATAATAATAATAATAATAATAATAATAATAATAATAATAATAATAATAATAATAATAATAATAATAGGAATAATAATAATAATAATAATAATAATGATAATAATAATGCCTCATCATCCTTACGTAGTACTTCTATACCACACCTTCCCTCCATCCCTCCCAGTACCTCCATCTTCCCTCCCTCCCTCCTACATCTCTTCTTCCTCACTCCTGTCTACCTACAACATTTCCCTCCTCCTCCTCCTCCTTCTCATTCCCTCCCCTCTAATCCTCCTCTTCTCCCTCTTACAATTCTTCTCCCTCCTCCCTTCCCTCCTCTTCCAGCTCTTTTCCTTTAGCCACCACCACTCCCTCCCTCACTTCTTCATCCTCCCCCCTACCCCCACCTCCACCCCCACCTCCATCGCCTCCCTCCCCCCCCCCTTCCCCCTCCCCCCCCCCAGACAACACCCGTCCACCAACTTCTTAATTTCCTGAGGCGGCTTTGCCCTTGACATTATATTGCCCGCCACCTACACCCACCAGGAGGGGAGGGGGTGGGGGGAGGGAGGGGGAGAGAGGGGTTCTTGGGGTAGGGGGAGGGTGTCTGTTGGGTTGGGGAAGGGGAGGGGGTGAAGGAGGAAGAGGAAGAAGCATTGAGAGGATGGGAGGAGGAGGAGGAGGAGGAGAGGCTTTAAGAGGGTGGGAGGAGTCATTCAGAAGGTGTGAGAGGAGGAAGAGGAGGAGGAAGATGCACCACCTCCTTCAGTTGTTCCTCCGCCCCTCTTCCTCCACCAGCACCTCCTCCTCCTCCTCTTCCTCCACCAGTACCCCCCTCCTCCTCTTCCTCTTCCACCACATCTTCCTCCATCAACACCACATCTTCCCATCCCCCCCCCCTCTCCTCTTCCCCCCATCACCCCTTCCCTTTCTTCCTCCTCCTCGGATAATATTTTGACGAATATTTAGGACAATTTAGTGTTGGTGGGAGGACAGCGAGGCGACGCGGGGCAGTAAATGGCAGGGAAGAGAATGGGAGATGGTGAGATGTGGCCACAGACGGCAGCGACCCGTGAACTGGGGAGAGGGTGTACCGGGAGGGAGGGTGAACCGGGAGAGCTGTACCGGGAAGGAGGGGGTGTACCGGGAGGGAGGGGGTTTGTACAGGGGGGGAGGGAGGGGGGTGTACCAGGGGGAGGGAGGGAGTGTACCGGTGGAGAGGTTATACCAGGAAGGAGGGGGTATACCGGGAGGGAAGGGGCGTTCCGGGAGGGAAGGGGCGTACCGGAAATGAAAGGAGAGGTGTACCGGATGGGTGGATAGAACCTTTAGTACAGGTAGAGAGTGGAATGGAACCTGGAGTGCCGGGAAGAGTTGATGGAATAGAACCTAGAATACTGGGAAAATGGTGAAATAGAAGAGGGAAGGAAGGGGAAAGGGAGAAAGCAATGGGAAAGGAAAGGGGAAAGAAAGGGAGGAAGGGAAGGAAAGGGGAAAGGAAGGAAAGGGGAGAGGAAGGGAAGGAAAGAGGTAAGAAAGGGAGGGAAAGGGGAAAGGAAGAGAAGGAAAGGGGGATGAAAGGAAAGGAAAGGTATAACAAGACCCCCGTCACTCAGGTCACTAGGCTGGCAAGGGACCAACTCACTCAACTAATGCCACCAAGGGTTAGGTAACACTACTGACGTTCGTTCCTACACCAGATATACCCAAGTGCTTGAGATAACATACAATAACAACAACCTAAATAACAATAATAACAAAAACAATGTTATTTTACTCAAGGGATTAATTACAGTACTCAGGTGTTTAAATCATCGTACTCAAGGCGGATTCATAGTAACTCAGGAGAAAGGCATCGTACTCAAGGCGGATTTAAGTGTTGTGATACATCTATAACAACATGCGGAGGGTTGTAACTTGTACCTGTGCTGTTGAACATCTTTATTACATTATAACATCAACAACAGGTGTAAGGTTGTTATTTGTGGGTGGCAAGGAGGGCGGCAAGATAGTTGTATATTATGGGTGGCAAGGGTGGCCAGGAAGCTTCAGGTTGTGGGTGGCAGAGGTGGACAGGAAGCTACACGTGGTGGGTGGCAGGGGTGACCAGAAAGCTACACGTGGTGGGTGGCAGGGGTGACCAGAAAGCTACACGTGGTGGGTGGCAGGGGTGACCAGAAAGCTACACGTGGTGGGTGGCAGGGGCGGCGAGGGTGGCACTAAGTATTCTATCCAGCTCTATCTCCTTGAAATATTGATTCGGTTTTACATGTGTGGAAGAGTACAAGACTCAGGCACACCCCTACCCCCCACCCCCTCCCTCCTTTGATCCCTTCCCTCACCTCACCTCTACCTGCCTCTTCCTCACACCTCACCCCTACCTTGACCCTCTCACTCCTCCCCTACCTCTTTCTCCCCCCCACACACAAAACCGCCTACATCTTGTTATAATCATAAAAAACATTAAAATTCGAAAAATAAAAATAAAAAAATAAAAAAAATCAAAAATATGAAAGGAAAAATAAGATTATGGACCCTAATTTATTCTAGAAAAAAAGGTTTATTTATTTTATGTAATAGATCATCCTGGAAAATAAAGTAAGGGGTTAAATTTATTGTTTTTTGTGTAATATTGATGTAGAAATAATGTGTGTATTGATTGGAGGTTGTGGAGGTAGAGGAGGTTGTGGAGGTGTAGGAGGTTGTGAGGTAGGAGGTTGTAGAGGTGGAGGAGGTTGTGGAGGTGGAGATTGTGGACGTGTAGGAGGTTGTAGAGGTGGAGGAGGTTGTAGAGGTGGAGGAGGTTGTAGAGGTGTAGGAGGTTGTAGAGGTGGAGGAGGTTGTGGAGGTGGAGATTGTGGAGGTGTAGGAGGTTGTAGGGGTGGAGGAGGTTGTGGAGGTGTGGGGTGAAGGTGTGGGGGTTGTAGAGGTGGAGGAGGTTGTGGGGTGGAAGAGGTTGTGGAGGTGGGTAGAGTGTGAAGGTGTGTGGGTTGGGTGGAAGTTGTGAAGGACGAAGGAGGTTGTGAAGGTGGAGATTGTGGAGGTGTAGGAGGTTGTAGAAGTGGAGGTTATGAAGGTCGAGTCATATCCCCCACTCAGAGCCGCCACAACTCACCCTCCGGTAATTGTGAGTCGCCCTTGAACTTTCACGACGAGGATAAGTTCACCACTGAGGCTCTTGAGTTTCAGCTGCCACTCGCTGTAATCTTCCTCCATACTTCCCCCAGGACTCCATATATTACCTTTCTCTCCCTTTAATGACTAACTAACTTTAACGTAAATTACTACACGAGACAGAGAGAGAGACAGAGGTGTACTGTCTCTTACCTACAGAGTCTCTAAACGTCGTTGTGGTTGGCTGTCTCGAACCCAAAACATCCGCATGATTGCTCTTATACAGTGGGGAGAGGGAGGAAAGACGATGACGTTATAAAAAGAAATAAAAATACTCCAAGGCCCCGTGATTGGTAGATTTCTTCAGACTCTCCGTAAACCTGGTTCTGATTGGCTCATCCAGTGGCGCGCGTGGCGAGGAAGCCCAGGGAGCTCAGGAGGGAGGAGAGGTGGCGTGGGGGTAGATGGAGGGAGTGGAGGAAAGGGGGGTGTTCTGCTCAGCGTCCTCCCCCACACTGTCCAACGGGATGTATAGAGAGGGATGGCGGAGTGATTATATTAAGTCTTGATGTTATGAGGGAGCTCTCTGGCCTTCCTTCCTTCCCTCTGCCTGTGTGCCTAAGCCAGCCAGCCATGCTAACCTCCACCCTCCCTCCCTCCTCCCCTCCTTCCTTCCTTGGACTTCCCCCCCCCACACCTCCATTCGTTATTGTGTTGCTGTAACGAAGTTTTTTTACCGCTTGATGCTGCTACTCTCTCTCCTGTTGTTATTTACGGCACAGACCCATGCAACAGGTACGTGTGTGGCCACTTTCTACTGTACACCTGGCAGATGAAAACAAGAGGGTCATTGTTCTGCTATCACCACCTACACCACCACCACTACTACTACCTCACCATTATCACTACCACCACTACCACTATCACCACCACTACTACTACCCTCACCATTATCACTACCACCACTACTATCACCACCACTACTACCCCTCACCATTATCACACCACCCTACCACTATCACCACCACTACTACTACCCTCCTCATTATCACTACCACCACTATCACCACTACTACTACCCCTCACTATCACTACACCACTACCTATCACCACCACTACTACTACCTCACCATTATCACTACCACCACTACCACTATCACCACCACTACTACCCTCACCATTATCACTACCACCACTACCACTATCACCACTAC